TACGCGTAAGACGTACTAGTACGACGAAAACCCTCAAAGGGTTAAGCAAACACTATGATGACCTCCTGGCACTCCTTGAATCACTAAAGACACCCTTCTCCTGCATTATTCTTACCGAGACCTGGCTAAAACAGGACACAATAGATATCTACCCTCTACCAGGATACACAGCAATCCACAACTGCAGACCATACCAAGTTGGGGGTGGTATTGCAATCTATTACTCTAACCAATTATCTTGTATCAGCACCAACTGCTTTAGTGATGAATATGGAGAATACATTTTTGCTAATTTTACTGTAAAAAACCTTAAGACGCCTATAACAATCGGTGCCATTTACCGGATACCCCACACTAACATCCCAAACTTCAGTGAGAAATTAAAAGGCACTAATAACAAACAGACAAATGAATAAGCACCACCTTCTCTTAGCTGGAGACTTAAAACATCAACCTTGGCCTACTAGATGATCAACCTGTAACTGATTTCATCAACAATATGAACAACACACTTCTCATACCAACAATAACTAAACCAACAGGCTCACTGAAACAAGTGCAACCATAACAGACACATATGGACCAATATACTAGCCCCCCTTAAATCAGGGATAATCACAGATAGCACTACAGACCACTACCCTACCTTCCTCTTGACAAACATTAGTAAACCACCACTTGAATACAACAAAGTCTCATTTAGACTCCATGATGAGGCCTCAATAAGGAAGTTCACAGCTGACTAGAGACTGTTGACTGGCCTACAGAATTCTCCAAGGCCAATGGTATTGACGACTGGACAGACATTTTTCTTAAACTACTTAGACTATACAACAAACATTGTCCTATAAAAACGAAACAGATCACAAACAAACGGTTTGGTTGCCCATGGCTAACCAGCACCATTCTGAAATCCATTGATAAGAAACACTAATATGAAAAGCAATATAGACAGGGCTTAATACACGAAGATATTCTTAAACACTATTCATCAGTCCTCACCAAAGTAATAAAGAAAGCCAAACAACTATACTACTCCAGTAGATTCACCGACACAAGAGGAGATATATCCTTCTATCTTGCTCCAACTGAGCCCACGGAAGTCACCGAGATTATTAAGACACTTAAAAATAACTCAGGGAATCTGTCTCATGTCCCACCATTATTGTACAAGAGAGTGGCCCATGTCCTCTCGCATACTATCTCATTGCTTTTTAACAAGTCACTAGAAGCTAGCACCTTCCCGAAACTACTCAAGACGGCAAGGGTTATACCAATACATAAAGGTGGTGACCCTACAGATTTAAACAACTATAGGCCAATATCAAACTTACCATTGCTATCCAAAATCTTTGAGAAATGGTGCACAGGAGACTATATTCATTTATAACGTCACAAACATACTCAACCCTGCCAATTTGGATTCAGGAAAAAAAAAAGCACTAACGATGCAATTATAAAAATGCTAGATCTGCTTTACACAGCTTTGGGAAAAATAAGGAATATCCACTAGGAATTTTATTGACCTAAGAAAAGCTTTTGACACAGTAGACCACGGCATCCTACTCCACAAACTTGACCATTATGGTATAAGAGGCCATGCGCTTGCATATTTCAAATCTTACCTTACTAATAGGTATCAGTATGTCACCATTAAAGACACAGCATCAACAACACAGCCACTTGATACTGGAGTTCTGCAGGGAAGTGTCCTTGGTCCCCTGCTCTTCCTCATATACATCAATGATTTTCCCAAAATTTATCTCGACACCTGAACCCATTCTCTTTGCTGACGACACGACTTATGTCATCTCTCACCCTAATCTTGCAGCCTCAACACCATTGTTAATGAGGAGCTGATCAAAATATCGACTTGGATGACAGCCAATAAACTTACGCTTAACGTTGACAAAACCTACTACATTATGTTTGGTAGCAGAGCAGGAGATGTGCAAATTAACATTAAGATCGACAACACTCTAATTACCAGGCATAATGAGGGCAAATTCCTAGGCCTATACCTCGACAGCAACCTGAACTTCAGCACCCATATCAACACATAACCAAAAAAGTATCCAAAACGGTTGGGATCCTCTCCAAGATATGATACTACGTGCCGCAAACTGCCCTTCTCACACTATACCATTCACTTATATATCCATACCTCACCTATGCTATCTGTGCTTGGGGTTCAACTGCAGCAACACACCTAAAGCCAATAATAACCCAACAAAAAGCCACAGTAAGAATAATCACTAAATCCATCCCCGGCAAACACCCCCCCCCTCTTCATAGATCTCAACTTACTCCCTGTTTAGTACATCCACACTTACTACTGTGCAATCTACATCTACAGGACCTTAAATTCCAATATTAAACCTTGACCTAAAACGCTTTCTTGATAGTTGTGACAGAACCCACAGGCACAACACCCGACACAAACATCTCTATGACATTCCCCGTGTCCGACTAAAACCTTTACAAAAATTCAATGTATGTCAAAGGCCTAAAATCTGGAACACCCTACCTGAAAATTCCAAAACTGCAGACACATTCATCACCTTCAAAATTACAATCAGAAAACATCTTATCTCCCTGATACACCCTGTCAACTAATAATACGAATACCACCGGTGGTTCACACTTACACTCACTCACCATTTGACCATAAACAGAAATATCAATCTCAATCTCAAAATAATGAATCTTAACTAGTCATAAGTTGGCCTGTGATACTCCAATACTGAAACTACGTATAGTGCCAAAACAAAAGCATTCACATTGCTAAACTCACAACTAGTATTTAGTCACTTAGCCATAATACCAACTTACCTCATAATTTTGTAACATTTTAAACCTAAGATTTAATATAAGTCTGCCCGAAATGCCTAGCCATGCTAGGCGTTCTAGTGGTACACTCTGTAATTATTATTTTACTACATGTAAACCACACAATAACCAAATTCTGTAAACTCAGCATTGTAATACTTATAGAGAATAAAGTTTGAATTTGAATTTTGAATTTGAATAGAGACAAATGGTTTTTAATACTTGACGTGCTGTTGGAGTGTGAGCAAAGTAACATTTATGAAGGGGTTCAGGGAAACCGGCAGGCTGGACTTGAGTCCTGGAGATGGGAAGTACAGTGCCTGCACTCTGAAGGAGGGGTGTTAACCCTTTGACTGTCGCGGCCGTATATATACGTTTGCGAGGTACCGTGTTTGACGTATATATACTCATAAATTCTAGCGGCTTCAAATCAGGCAGGAGAAAGCTAGTAGGCCCACATGTGAGAGATTGGGTCTGTGTGGTCAGTGTGCACCACATAAAAAAAATCCTGGAGCACGCAGTGCATAATGAGAAAAAAAAAACTCCGACCGTTTTTTTTAATTAAAATGCCGACTTTGTGGTCTATTTTCGTATAGTATTTGTGGTTGTATTCTCGTTTTCTTGGTCTCATTTGATAGAATGGAAACTATATTATAGAAATGGAGGTGATTTTGATTAATTTTACTATAAAAACAACTGGAAATGGAGCACAAAGTACAGGAAATGTTTGATTTTTGCCGATGTTCAAAAGTGAACAAATGATGTCATTGTCCAATAAATGTCCAAATAGCCATTCTAATACGCAGTCATGAATGGGTTGATGTAATTTTTACAATTATTACAGTATTGCAGTAGTCTGCATAACAGTAAATCTTCTATTTTTTGTTTGAATAAAATTTCAAAATAAAAAGCAAGAGTAATATCACAGGGACCTGGAGACATGACTGATGAACAAAGAAAATGTTATTTTAGAGCCAGGAATGTCTGCATTGTTCATTCTGGACCTTATTTTGAAAATTGTCGTATTTTTTAATTTTCGTGAAATTGGCCAAATTGCAAATTTCTGACCATGTTATTGGGTAGTTGAAATCGGTAAATGGGCAGTTTCTTGTACTCAATCGATAGAAAAAATAGAGTTCTGAAGAAATAGTTATGAGTTTGGTTGACTGGAATAACGGAATTAGCCGAAAATAGGGCTCAAAGTGGGCGAAATTGCCGATTTTTAAATATCGCCGAAGTCGCTAACTTCGCGAGAGCGTAATTCCGTCAGTTTTCCATCAAATTTCGTTTTTTTGGTGTCTTTACAATCGGGAAAAGATTCTCTATCATTTCATAAGAAAAAAAAAATTTTTTTTTTTTCGAATATTTTGCGACACCAGAAGCAACTTCAGGATTTGGCCCTTCGACAGTCAAAGGGTTAATGTTGCAGTTTAAAAACTGTAGTGTAAAGCACCCTTCTGGCAAGACAGTGATGGAGTGAATGATGGTGAAAGTTTTTCTTTTTCGGGCCACCCTGCCTTGGTGGGAATCAGCCAGTGTAATAAAAAAAAAAAAATAATAATGTTTTAATTGGGGCATTGTAGTGCAAGACTGGTAGTATGATAGAGTGAGTAATAGAGAAATGGTATGGTGAGATTAACAAGATGTGGAAAAATACACTTGTGTACAGTTCAGGTCATTTAACAAAGGAAATGTTTTGCCATGAGTGGCTTCTTCAGTCCTAATACAGAGTAACTTAAGAAAAGAGTATACATAATGGCAAGTCAGGCAGAAGGTTGTACAGGTAGTAGTGGTGGTACAATTGTAGTGAGATGAATTGGGTTTGAGAAGGACCTGTCAACATCATGTTACAGCTGTCTCCAGAATGGGTAATATATGGTTGATTAACAATTTGGATATTGTGGCAGCCTCTATACACTTTTGCCATCTTAAATCTTCATTAATGATTATTCTAGCCTCACTGAATTTCATGGTGTCCAACATCATCCCTATGTTGAACACATGCATTTCTACAGTCATCACACTTGCAAGTATTTTTGTGTTCCCTGATCCTATTATCTAGAGATCTGGCCGTTTCCCCCACATACACTCTGCCATACCCCCCCACATGTTAATTTCACAATGCTACAGAAACCTATGGTGGATGGTTCCAAAATGTTTCAAGTTAGCCAATTATTTTATGATTTATTTCACACAAGATTATTATTTTGTTGCACTTTTAATCACTATGCAGCCAAATCACCCAATGTGAAGTTACATTGTAAGAGGGTTTACTGTAGTGGAACCTCTGGTCACGACCATAATTCATTCCAAAACTCTGGTTGCTACCCAATTTGGTTGTGACCCAAATCTAATTTCCCCATTGGACTGTGTGTAAATATGATTAATCCGTTCCAGACCCCTATGAACTGTGTGAAACACAAATTTAAGTTAATTATACCATAGAATGCAGTGTAATAGTAAACTAAATTTAAAAACCTTGAATAATACTGAGAAAACCTTGAACATAGAAAACTAATGTTACACGAGTTTTAAGGGGTCTAATGGCTGAGCAGCAAACTCAGTTATTTATTGTCCGAGTTCTTTCATTTTTGGTGTACGTTAAGAAGCACCTTTCCAACAGACATTGCTCAAGTTTCAATAAGATAGCCCAACAAACAACTGAGAAAAAAAAATATTTACCAAAAATTATATATGGGAAGCCCTAGACAGTAGTGGCACTGCAAGCTGTTTCAGCACTACCTGCTGATAAAACATTACTAATCTGAATTTACCACGAAAACTGGCGCAAAAAATGGCGAGGAATGTGAAAATTGGCGTGGCTGTGTTTATTTGGCACCCAATTGTGTGTTTGTGACCAGATGCAAAAATCTGGCAAATTTTTTTGGTCGTGAACAGATTTGTTTGTATTCGGAAGCGTTTGTGACCAGAGGTTACACTGTGTATAGAAAATAAAATATTTACTATTATACAAAGATTGTCATTTACAATGCATATTTTTTTGCTTTATCCTGAATATTTGAGAACATTCCAAATAAAATTGAAATTAAGAGAATACAGAATAAATATATTTTAATGCATATTTACATGCAATATTGTATAGTACATTGTAAGGATCTTTATACATATACTTTAAATATCCAATATATTTATCTGAACTATATGAACTGTACAGTATGTGTAACTTTTTTTAATTCAATGGCATAATGAAAATGTGCAAGAAGTTAAAAAGAGTATGAGGTGGAATAGGTATCAGTGATTCAAAATTACAGACATTACCTGTAAGGCAGAAAAATAGAGTCAAGACACCTAGCTAAGCATTAAAGTTTGGTTACTTCTAATAACTGCTGCCATGATGTGATGAGGCAAACTTTAGTAGGCATCCAATCTAACAGCATTTACTTCAGTAGCAAAACTGTATTTTCTGGAAAAAAAAAAAAAAATTAGTCTTGCTTCATAAAACACAAGCATACTATACATATGACAATTTATTAATAATGCCTAATAACAATGTATTTCTGTAAATGCATTGCAGCAACACGTTTAATAAATTATGAACAATTAAACAAATGTAACAAAGTAAATGTAAACAGAGTGCCACCACCAGGCCTCTTAGTCGACTTCAACCCATAAAAAAAAAAAAAAAAAAAAAAAAAGGATACATAAAAGTCTTAAAACTGTTTCCAGCACAAGTTTAATCATAAAACCACATTTTTTGACTGCCTCTCAAACTAAATACATTTTCTTTGTACAGCAGACTGTCGTTAAACACGATTTTGTATTTCATGTTTTTGTTATAGCACGAATGAAGAATTGTGACATATTTAACACTTCGTAAAATTAGTTTAACACTGTTGCAAGAGGGGAAAAATTTTAAGTAAACGGTCGCCCGCTGGGCAGGATGGTCTGTGGGTTAGAGAGTTACAGCATTGTGTCAACAAGGGGAGACCTATTGCTATCCCCTGCCTCCCTAAGCCACCCACACCACCCTGATCAAGTGTTTAATGCTGACAAGACAAGTATTTTTTGGAAAAAATGCCAACACAAACTTATATCAGTCAGAAAGAGAAAAGTGCACTGGGCTTCAAGACAGCAAAGGATCACTTCACCTTGCTTCTTTGCTGTAATGCAGCAGGTGATTTCAAGTGTAAGCCCATGGTTATTTACTGATCTAAGAATTCTCGTGCTTTGGAGGTCAAACCAGACAGCATGGATGAGAGGAAATATTTATTGACTAGTTTAAGCATCACTTTATTCCTGAAGTCAAGTTTTACCTGCACAGCAAGAACTTTGCATTCAAGGCTCTCTTCATTCTTGATAATTCCCATCCTCATCCACAAGCTTTGCTGTATTTTTACCTCTAATACGACCACTGGATCGGGGAGTTAAGTCATTCAAGTGTAACTACACAAAAAGAGTTATGAAAAAACTAGTTGCATCAATGGACTGACTCCAACCTGGAAGTAAATTTATTCTGGAATAAATTTAACATTGCAGATGCCATCAGCTATGCTAGAAGTGCATGGAATGAAGTGCAACAATCAACATTAAATGCAGGCTGGGGAAAGTTATGGCCTTCTGTAGTTCTTTCACTGGTTTTCTCTTGCTTGAGAGCCAGGTTCAGGAAATTGTTCAGCTGGCAAGGAGATTACCAGGTGATGGTTTTGAAGATATGAATGAAGATGATGTGAATGAGGTTTTAGAAGATGATGAAGACAGGAGTCCAGAGGAAATGTTGGCAGAGCTCAATGCACAGATGCAAGGAAGATAACAGAAGATGAAGAACCTGAAGAAAAACAGTTAACATTGCAGAAGCTATGTGAGCAGTTCTATGTTGCTGCTAAACTAGGAGACTTTCGCTGAAGAGGACCCTGACAAATCTAGAAGCAGTGCTTTGAAATGGGGTCTAGACCAGCTGATGCTGCCTTACCATCAGCTGTATGATGTACTGCAGGGTAAAAGAGCCCAGAGATCCATTACAGAATTTATGCACACTCCAATACAACCATCGACTTCAGTACCAGAACCTCTACCATCCACGACAACCAACAACCATCCACCTCAGCCCAGTAGGGCCACACTATCCACATCCACTCTCTTCACAATCATCCACAAATACCATTACCCACAATTTAAGGTAAGAAATACTAACATTTCTATTGCATTTGTAGTCTTAAGCAGTAATATATCACAACAATGCATTACAATTACATATTCACTTTTATTTTGTAAGATCTGGAGGTCTAAACAAAAGTTGTTTGACTTTTTGGGGACTCCCAGCAACGTTACCCTATTTTTCCCACAAGTTCTTCAGTTTGTCTAACACAGATCTGTCTAACATGGCATTTTCAGGAACGTAACTACTGTGACAGTCTACTGTATTTTAAAAGATAACATTTCACCGTTTTACAGTTATTCTGAGTTAACCATTTTCCAAATTGAAGTAGGTATTACCTGCAGTGAAAAGCATTGCAAATATATATGATAAACTCTTAGTTTGGAAGGAAAAAAAAAATTGCAGTGTCACAACTGCCCTCCATCTCAGCTTTAATGAACTTTACTAATTACCATTACTGATTTTGGCTAGGATTTCAGTATATTCTGAGAAGGCAGAATTCCAATTCCATTGTTCATTGAATATGACAGCCAGGCTGAGAGACTTTCTATAATTCTCGTAAGATTGTCACAATTGTGCCAAAGCCTTGTGAAAGAATTTACACACGCAGCTATGTGCTGTAAATACCATCTTGTAGTCATTAGCAGTGCTATGCAACCCTTTTAGATTTAGAGCTTAACTTTATTAGGACAATATAATGAAACGGAATGATGGAGATTTGAATAAATACAAATTAATGTTTCAATACATTAATAATTTAAACAAATACTGAAAGGCATTTAATTTTTGATAAATAATTTAGCATCATTATCCCGGTTGCACAAATCACGATTATCATACAAGGGAATTAATTTTGGATAGCCTTAAAGATGGAACTAGTAGGTTGTTGAAATAAATGATAACTGAAGTACATTAGACAGAAATGATAATTATAAAACCCTAAATGAAGAGGTCAAACAAAATTATGGTGTAATAAAATCGGTATTAAATACAAATTACGTACTAAGTTGCAAACTACTGATATTAAAATAAATGTTTTATATGGAAAATTAATAAAAAAGCCCTTTAATAGTAAATGATACTCATTAATAATTTAAATCTACATACAGTGGACCCTCGACCAGCGATGGCATCGATTAACGATAAATTTGACTAGTGATACATTTTATCGCAAAAATTTTGCCTCGATTAGCGCTAAAAAACTAGACCAACACTATTCCTTCCATCTGAGACGCGTCCACTTCTGGCCAGTGTTTACAAGCCAGCCAGCCACCGCAGTCGCTTCCAAGCATACAATCGGAACATTTCATATTATCACAGCCTTTTTAGTGATTGCACCTGCAAAATAAGTCACCATGGGCCCCAAGAAAGCTAGTGCCAACCCACAGCAAAAAGGGTGAGAATTACTATGGAGATGAAGAAAGAGATCATGGCTAAGTATGAAAGTGGAGTGCATGTCTCCGAGCTGGCCAGGCTGTACACAAAACCCCAATCAACCATCGCTACTATTGTGGCCAAGAAAACGGCAATCAAGGAAGCTGTTCTTGCCAAAGGTGCAACTATGTTTTCGAAACTGAGATCACAAGTGATAGAAGATGTTGAGAGACTGTTATTGGTATGGATAAACAAAAAACAGATAGCAGGAGATAGCATCTCTCAAGCGATCATATGTGAAAAGGCTAGGAAGTTGCATGACGATTTAATTAGAAAAATGCCAGCAACTAGTGGTGATGTGAGTGAATTTAAGGCCAGCAAAGGTTGGTTTGAGAGATTTAAGAATTGTAGTGGCATACATAGTGTGATAAGGTATGGTGAGGCTGCCAGTTTGGACCAAAAAGCAGCTGAAAAATATGTGCAGGAATTCAAGGAGTACATAGACAGTGAAGGACTGAAACCTGAACAAGTGTTTAATGGTGACACTGACAATGTTGTCAAACACGTTAGGAATGTCATAAAGGAACGGGAGGTACAGGCCTCTATGGGCAGATATGTTGTGCGACAGAGGTCCAGTGACTCAAGCTGGTCCTAGTGGCATTAAAAGAAGGGAAGTAACCCCAAAAAAGGACTTGCCACCTCAAGTCCTAATGGAAGGGGATTCCCCTTCTAAACACTAAGACCATCAACCACACCCCCTCTTCCCATCCCATCAATCATCACCAGATCTTCAATAAAGGTAAGTGTCATGTAACTGTGCATGTCTTCTTCAGTTTGTGTGTATTAAAATTAATATTTCATGTGTTAAAATTTTTTTTTTCAATACTTTTGGGTGTCTTGCACGGATTAATTTGATTTCCATTATTTCTTATGGGGAAAATTAACTTGACTAACGATTATTTTGACTAACGATGAGCTCTCAGGAACGGATTAATAGCGTTAGTCGAGGGTCCACTGTATTTTATTATTTAAATCCTATAAAGTAATCAAAGAAAGGAGGGTGAATTACTCGTCTGTATTTTATTATTATTCTTATCTTGTGCACCTTTAAACTCTCTCAAAATTTACAAATAATTTCCTTGTATTTGCTGTCCTGAGTGTCAAAACTTTTGAATGAAGCATTGTGCAGAAATGCTGTACACCCAATAAGCTTGCTCTACAGACACACTGAGGTTTTCTCATCATTCCCAAGTCATACTGATAAGAGCATACCACATCTAAGTGTATGATTACAAATAGTTCAACCAAAGTTCAATGGTAGAACATTCAGGTCAAAAATTATAGGACCTATGTTAAATTTAAAAAAAAAGAGCAAATAGTCTTACACCTGCTGCACACGTTCACTTTGCAGCAAATAGATACAGGTATGTAGGGGTTAGCCAGCTTGGGTCACATCCCAGAAACATAACACTCATTGACACAATGACCAGCTTTTTTTGATAAATACAACTTACTGTAGATTCCATTTTCTCGGTTTCTGTAGATGAGAAGGAAAATGCGGGTAAGAAACAAGACTGCTGCTACTACTATGGTGGTGGTGATCAAGGCTGACACTTCGGTACTCACTATGTCTTTTTGTTCCATGTAGATTCCAACAATTGCCCACAGCAGCACTGTAAACAGACATTTACATGTAATACATATTAACACTTGGTTGTGTGTATGGCATGTATAATACACTTGAGATGGGACTATACCAAAATTTTTGCCAATAACGATACTCAATTTTTAGCCAATACCAGTACCATCAAAAGTAACCGATACCTACTGATACTCTGGCATACCGATATAATAAATCTTTAAAACTACGTATAACATTTTCAAAACTTTATATTGTACATAAATATAACATCTGAAAAGCCCATAGCATATACATTTTAGGCAACTTAATACATGTTGGCCATTACTAATCTGGCATCATCGGAACCTATAGGGGGCTGGATTAGTGATTTTACCGGATTACAGTGTGGTTAGGTTAGAATTACACCTAACCCAAAGGTAATATTTACGCATTGGCAATTTCACCCACTTTACGCCCCATTTTTGGCCCCTTCCATTGTCCAGTCTACCAAACTCTTAGAGATTTCGCTAGTATTCCTTATATTCTGTCGATTGAGTACAAGAAACTGCCCAATTACCCATTTCAACTACCCAATAAAGTGGTCAGAAATTGGTAATTTGGCCAATTTCACACAAATTTCAAAAGATGCCAATTTCAAAACAGGATCCAGAATAAACAATGCAGACATTCCTGACATTAAAATAACATTTTCTCCATTTATTAGTCACATCTCCAGGCCTCTCTTATATTAATTACACTTGCTTTCCATTTTGAATTTTTATTCACACACAAAAATAGACGATTTACTGTTATGCAGACTACTGCATTGAAATAATTGTATAAATAATGTCAACCCATTCATGACCACGTATTAGACCGGCCAGTTGGACACATACTGGGTGGTGATGTCATTTGTTTACTTTTGAACATCAGCAAAAATCGAACATTTCCACTACTTTGAGCTCAATTTCAAGGTACTTTCCATCATGAAACCAATCAAAATCATACCTATTTCTGTAGCATATCTTCCATTCTATTAAATGAGACCAAAAAATGAGAATACAACCATAAAAATCATATGAAAATATATTGCAAAACCATTGTTTTACACCAAAAACAGTCACAGTTTTTTCTCATTATGCACTGCGTGCTACAGGATTATTTTTTTTTATATAGTCCACTTACCACACAGACCTATTCTTTCATATGTAGGCCCAAATTTACTGTCACATTATAATCAAAAGGAAGCGCTAAACCTACTAGGGTCATACAGGGGTACCAGTTATAGTTTACGTGAGTGAGCTGAGCTCATGGCGAGCAACAGTGGCTTCAAAGTCACCTTATCTTTTATGGGCAATGTACAGTATGTGCTTTACACAATGAGAAGCATTTCTTTTATTCAATGGAACCATGGCTAAGGTTATAACAATAAATGGAGAAAAAGAAACTGGAATGACTTATGCAGCAAGTAGTGTTACCGAACAGTAGCACCAGGTTGGTGTGGCAACCCTGGAAATTTGAAATAATGCTAGCCAAAATTAGTGCCGGATTACTGATGGAACCGGATTACCGATTGCCAGATTAGTGATGGTCGACCTGTACTAAAGAGATTTCATAGCTGTGTTCTCTAGATAAGATAAGATTTCGTTCGGATTTTTAACCCCGGAGGGTTAGCCACCCAGGATAACCCAAGAAAGTCAGTGCGTCATCGAGGACTGTCTAACTTATTTCCATTGGGGTCCTTAATCTTGTCCCCCAGGATGCGACCCAAACCAGTCGACTAACACCCAGGTACCTATTTGCTGCTAGGTGAACAGGACAACAGGTGTAAGGAAACGTGTCGAAATGTTTCCACCCGCCGGGAATTGAACCCGGGAACTCCATGTGTGAAGCGGGAGCTTTAGCCACCAGGCTAAACATTGAAACCCTTATTATTAGATACACAAAGTTTTGTTCACTAATATTGTGCACTTTAATAAAAAAAAGTTCTACCATTTTCATAGTCTTTTTACTGCTACACTAGTACATGTCCACTATTGCCACAATTTCAAATTCTAGCACAGGATATTGGCAGGGGCAGGGTGGGCCCAAAATTTCAACTATGCCTTTTCTCAGTTTAAATAAGTTTTTGTTAGTTTATATTATGGTTTCACCAGATGATTTTAATGAATTATAGTAGATCACCATAAACTAAAAACTGTCACTATTAAATTTTACCTTTGTAAATTCTCATGATTAATGTGTTTATGATTCATTACCTTTGCAATTATTCATGAGCGTGACCAGCTCAACCTGGAGCTCATTACCTTTGTAACTTGGTCATAGCTTGATTAATGATACTCAGCATGGATTCACAAGAGGCCGGTCTTGTCTAACTAATTTATTAACTTTCTTCAGTAAAGCTTTTGAGGCTGTTGACCACGATAAAGAATTTGATATTATTTACTAGATTTTAGTAAGGCATTTGATAGAGTTCCGCACCAAAGACTGTTGAAGAAAGTAGCAGCTCATGGCATTGGGGGAAGGGTGCTCTCGTGGATCAAATCATGGCTCACAGACAGGAAGCAGAGAGTGTCCATAAATGGGGTTAAATCCGAGTGGGGATCAGTAACAAGTGGCGTTCCACAGGGATCAGTCTTGGGCCCGTTGTTGTTTATAATATATATCAATGATCTTGATGAAGGAATTACTAGTGATATGAGCAAATTCGCCGATGACACGAAGATAGGTAGGATAATTGATTCAAACGTGGATGTTGGGGAACTTCAGGAGGATTTAGACAAACTCTACTCTTGGTCAGAAAAGTGGCAGATGCAGTTCGGTGTAGATAAGTGCAAGGTTCTGAAGCTCAGGAGTGTCCATAACCCTAGCACTTATAAGTTAAATAATGTAGAACTTAGCCATACAGATTGCGAAAAGGACTTGGGGGTTATGGTAAGCAGCAACCTTAAACCAAGACAGCAATGCCTAAGCGTACGTAATAAGGCAAATAGATTACTGGGATTTATATCAAGAAGTGTAAGCAACAGAAATCCAGAGGTCATACTGCAGCTTTATACATCATTAGTAAGGCCTCACCTAGATTATGCAGCTCAATTCTGGTCTCCATATTACAGAATGGACATAAATTCGTTAGAAAACATTCAGCGTAGGATGACTAAATTAATACATAGCATTAGAAATCTTCCTTATGATGATAGATTGAAGACTCTTAAGTTACATTCACTTGTTAGACGAAGAATGAGGAGACCTGATCGAAGTGTATAAGTGGAAGACAGGTATTAATAAAGGGGATATTAACAAGGTCTTGAGGATATCTCTCCAAGAGAGAACCCGCAGTAATGGATTTAAATTAGATAAGTTTAGATTTAGAAAGGACATAGGAAAGTATTGGTTTGGAAATAGGGTAGTTGATGAGTGGAACAGTCTACCTAGTTGGGTTATTGAGGCTAGGACTTTGAGTAGTTTCAAATTTAGGTTGGATAAGTACATGAGTGGGAGGGGTTGGATTTGAGTGGGATTGCACATCAGAGCTTATTTCATGGGTAGCATTGAAAATTGGGTTGGTCAAATGTTTGTTAGTGGGATGAATTGTAAAGGACCTGCCTAGTATGGGCCAACAGGCCTGCTGCAGTGTTCCTCCTTTATGTTCTTATGATAATGACCAGATCTAGTTCATTACCTTTGTAACTTGCTCAGCTATCAAAACTTTGGAGTCCAGTCCTTGGACCAATTATGTGCCTCTGTAATCTTTTGACTACCGCCCACAGGATGGGTATGGGGTGCATAATAAACATATTAAACTAAACTAACTATTAAATTTTTTAAGTTATGTACCCAGACAAAAAATTAATTTCTTGCATATTAAATTTATACATTCCTTTCGTCTCTAAGTGTGGCCTCTTATTTTTCTTTTATCTTTAACAGTTATGTAACTTCTTGTTTGTGTACAAAAAACAATCTTGTATTATCATTAATAATAATAATAATAATAATAATCTGTTAATTCAATAGAAATTATGTATTGCTATATCATCCTTAATGTTATGTTCATGCTTAATAGCATATTAAAAAGCAATAAAAAAGGCTAAAAACACTTGTTTTGATAAGTTAATATTAAAATTACTATATTACAGAAAGAACTTACCTATGTAGTGGGTAAGGAAAGGGTTGGCAACCAATGTGAACACAGTGTTCTCAAGTACGAACCAAACAACGAAGCCAACCACAAGGAAGGAAAGTGCACAAAGGCAAACACTATTACCATCCAGTTTCAGCTACCCCACATGAAAAAGAATGATCCAGTATATACTAGATGCATAAAATATTTAAGTAAATAACTTAAATGAGAAAAATTTAATGTTATGAATACCAAGACTCATTATTTGCTACAATTCTCAAGTTTTCTGTAAGACATTCCTAGTTTTAGGTTAAAACTGCTATACTTTGACAATTAACATATCATGCTCCTGTAGATAATACATATATACACGTACATACTGTATAAAGATGCTTTATGGTATCAAAAGTACACGTAATTAGTGTCATCTGCAAATAGAACTGGTTTAAGGAGTCGGAATGCATTTGGGAGGTCACTGATGTAAATAAGAGTAGAGGACCTAGGACACTTCCCTGTGGCACTCCAAAAACTACAAGCTGAGTATTAGAGGTATGAGTAGGAATTTTTTGGGGAGGCTTGTGAGGAAGGAATGGTGAGGGCAGGGAACTTTACTAGCAAGCTCTAAAATGTGAGCAAAACAAAAAACTTTTAAGAGGTAGTGCATGCGAGTGAGAATGTGAAATCTGTTCCACTACACGAGGCCTGGTCTCAGACCGGGCTGCAGGGGCGTTGACCTCTGAAACCCTCTCCAGGTAAATTCCAGGTAAACATGTACACTCATCTAAGCGAGGTCAAAGCCACAGATTCATCCTTGTAAGTGTAGAGGAGTAAAGTGCTACCACTTAATTTCTGAGGAAAAGCCTGGGACAGTAGTGAATGGTTTTAGTGGTATAACATCTGAAGAGGAAGTAAGGGGGGTTGATATATGTAGTGATTAATCAATCGTCTTGTGAAATAAGGGTTTTTGTTTTATATACAAAGTGTACAAGAACTGTTTGGTCATTCAGCACTTTAACCCTTAAACTGTCCAAATGTAGATCTACATTCACGTGCGTAGTGCTCCGACCTTGATTTTCCCCATTTGAATGCATGTAAAAATAAGTAGATCTACATTAGGAGACCCCCCCCCCCCCCCCCCCGCACTTGGACATTGATATACGTTTGGACAGTTTAAGGGTTAACCTTTTCACTCGCTCATAGTCCGAGTCAATAGAATCAATGTTGCAGATGCACATTATGTGTAAATCAGTGCCCTCAAATATGTTGCGAGTAGCAAATTTTGACCTACACATGAGAGAATGGGTCTGTGTGATAGGTAATGACCAGTCATCAAAGTCAAGATAAAACTAAAAATCAGTGTTACAATTGTTTGCCCTTGGATCTCTACATGCAATGTACACTGCAAATAAAAAAAAAAAGTAAATGCTCCTGATAACAAATAAACAGATCAGGTTTGGAAAATACAGAATATTCTCATACTCAAATTCACTTACTTCATACTTGTAGAAAATTGACTGATTAATGGTAGAAGCAAAGGTGGTCCAAGTGCTATACAATAACAAGCCATTGATCACCAAAATTCCACACCAAAAATTAAATTTAGATTTTGTATAGAGACTTGCAGCATCTTTTGCAAAGCTGTAAAGGAAAGAAGGAAGTTATGAGGCTTTGTTTTTTCATTATAATGATTGCCACACAAACATATGTATACGTACTATATACAGTAACATGCAGTTCCTTACATGCTTTTCTAAACTCACCTACAAGCACTTAAGGATAATGCAGTGCCATTAGTGATTACAATGAGCACCAGGATAATGGCTGATGCTGTAACACTTATGTTATCCCAGGCAAAGAGCCATCCCACATTAAGGTTGAGATTGATGATCAACACCAGAATCAATGAGCTGGGAACAGCACCTCCCAGCTTCCATACCTTCACCTCACACACTTTTAGAAACAGCAATGCAATAGCTGTAATAAAAAAAAATGAAAGGGCTAATAATTAAGATGTGATTAACTACACAGATTAAAAACATTTACACTTTTATTTAAAAAGCACAATTTGTTATTCAGTATTTCAAATACAGTGGTACCTCGGGATACAAACTTAATTTGTCCCAGAAGGCTGTTCGAGTGGCGATACCGAACGAATTTGTTCCAATAAGGAATAACGTAAATTAATCTGTTTCAGACCCCCAAAAATACACTTACAAAAGCACTTACATAATTGTTCGAGTTCTGAGTTTTGAGCTGTTCGTATCCCGAGGTACCACTATGTTTAGCTTGAATATTATGAAATTTTTATTAATTAACAAACTGTTGTCATAACCAATTCATTCTGACAGTACATAAATCATAACCACAAAGCAAGTAAAGGTATCTAAAATATTTTTTATATTCTGCAGCATATCCATAATTTGTTGTCATTGGCTGCAAGTACAAACAAATTTGACAAAGGAGAAATATTCCCATCATTTATGCCAAGAGATATATTCTACATACTGGGTTTCTGATCAGACTATGCCATTCAGATCCTGCCACCACATTAAGGTGACCCAGCATCAGAGGGCATAATTTTAATTGTACAAGTTAACACATCAGTGTCCTATTTCCTTGAATTAAATCTGATCACCTTCCCTTCTCCAGGTGCTGTATGACCCCTACAGGTTTAGCATTAACCAAATGAATGAATGAATGTAATAATATACAAGGGCAACCCAAAAAATATATATTCACCATTATGAGCGTAATGCAGAGATTAGTTTACCCTGCCTTTACTGATATAGCTATGATAAGTTAACTAGTCTTATCTGCTTTCTATTATTAAGCAGGGTGTGGAGAAACCCTAGAATGACTTAGGAAATTGAAGGTAATACTGTATGCAGTAGATGCCTGATTTAATGGACCTTGATTTAACGAAATTCAGAAATAAATTTTAGAAGGGGCAGAGCTTGGAATAAGTTTTAATTAATTGCAAAGCAGAGAAACTAATCTCCAAAAATGCAGTCAATACTGGAACTATTGTAAATAATTCACAAAGGCTAGTTACTTCACTAAGCCTTGTCAGGTTTATAAAAAAAAATTTTTTTTACATTTTTATCTTCAGTTTTTTCTGAAACGTAAACAACTTTAACTGTGATTTCAGCAACAGAAAATAAATGATATCAGTTAAACTTCAGTTAGTTTAATATGTTTATTATGCACCCTATACCCATCCTGTGGGTGGTAGTCAAACTTCAGTAACTGAAATGCAAGGTATGGATTTTTTCTAAACACAGAATAGATAGTGTCAAAACCAAAAGAATTTAAGGAATCTAAATTTGCAAATCTGATATTAACCTAGTTAAGTATTGTGTCATATTTCTTCAGCGCTCTTTGCAACCTGTACTACTGTAGTAGGGGAATTTCAGTGATGACTACAATTATTATTGAGAGTAGATTCCAGCACTGCACTGCTTCTCAAAGCATAAGGAAAATCAGGTTAATATAATTTAAATGAATTATGTTTGGAAGTGCCATATTTCACCCTGCAAAAAAGTGCATGACAATATGGCAAATCTAGTGTGCAGTAGGCCCTCCATATGAAAGGATTTCAATACCTAAAAACTATTTCTGATGAATAGGTCTTCTCCCTACCTTTGGCTTAAAACCTCACCTTATACTTGAGTATTAATAATAATAAATAATAATAATAATTCAGAATATACAGTATGCCCATATTGTTAAGAACCAAATAAAAAAAAATTAAAACTGTGGCCAACAGAAACAAAAAAGTGTACAGTTCATTATTTTACCATATATGGCTATCAGGATCAGAGACACATAAATGGCAGCCCAAATACTGAAAGTATATCCAGCTGGTGTGATGCAGATGAAGAGCTTGTCTGAGACATAACCAGTTGAGTGTTTGAAGGGAACTGTTGAGAAAAATAATTTGCAATTCATGATAAATTACCATATTTATTTTTATTCTGATACAGTACTGCATACTGCACATACATTATGCAAATATGATGTGTAGTTTAAATTTTAAAGAATTAAAGAAATTATCTAAAAAATTTATACAGTACTACATATAGTTTGAGTATATTCTTGATTGTTAAATACTATTTTGTAAAAGTGGAACAAGATTCACAAGGTACTTATGAAGGCTTTCTGTGCCTCTGACAAAATTTTTTTACAAGTATAGATACTTAACACTTTCAAGACAAGAATACAAAAATAAAAACATTAAACAGAATAAAAGTAAACATACCTGGAGTGTACCTGGAGAGGGTTTTAAGGCTCAACGTCCCCACGGCCCAGTTTGTGACCAGGCCTCATGGTGGATTTGGAGCCTGATCAACCAGGCCGTTACTCTTGGCAGTACGTAAACCAACGTACGAACCACAGCCCAGATGATCAGGTACGGACTTTAGGTGCCTATCCAGAGCCCTCTTGAAGACAGCCAGGGGTCTATTGGTAATCCCCATGTATGCTGGGAGACAGTTGAACAATCTTGGGCCCCTGACACTTATTGTGTTGTCTCTTATCGTGCCAGTGGAACCCCTGCTTTTCACTGCGGGGGCTTGTACATCACCTGCAGAGTCTTTTGCTTTCGTAGGGAGGGATTTTCATGTGCAAATTTGGTAATAATCCTTCTAGGATTTTTCCAAGTGTATATAATCACGTACCTCTCTTGCCTGTATTCCAGGCAATACAAGTCGAGGAACTTCAACCATTTCCAGTAATTTAGGTGACTTTTCGTACTTATGTGTGCCAGGAAGGTTCTCTGTACACTTTCTAGGTCAGCAATTTCACCTGCCTTGAAAGGCACTGTTAGTGGCCAGAAATATGCCAGCCTAGATAGAACAAGCGATCTGAAGTGTCATCATGGGCTTGGCATCCCTAGTTTTGAAGGTTCTCATTATCCATCCTGTCATTTTTCTAGCAATGTGACAGATACATTGTTGTGATTTTTGAAAGTGAGATCATCTGATATTATCACTCCTAGGCCCTTTACATTAGTTTTTCACTCTATTGTGTGGTTGGAATTTGTTTTATACCTTGATATAGTTTTAACATCCTCACGTTTTCCATATCAGAGTAATGGAAATTTCTCTTCACTGAACTTCATATTGTTTATCTGCATTATTTAAGAAGTCTATGACCCCTATTACCCTGGTAATTATGAAAACCATGACATGGAAAAAAAAAAGCTGAAGCAGTGATTAAGAAGTTAAAATTCCTAAACCATTTACAAAAGTTTACCAACTGTTTCACTGGACTTCAAATTCTCAATTTTGAGAGAAGCCTCAGCCTTCCCCCCCTTCCCCCAGGGGGTTCCCAAAGCAGTATTGTTCCGCCTTGTAAAATTTCTCTTAGAGGTCCTGCATTCCAGGTATATTTCACCATAGCCAAGCAATGGAAATGTACCTAAATTTATCAACTAATAGCTTAAAAAAATATTTTGAATGCTATAATACTTTGTGCAATGTTCATAAACACATTCTATGTCAATCTATCTAAAACTGCAAGTTTAATTAGTCGCTACCTCTCCATTTGTAACCTAAACCAAACACTAATTCAAACCACTTTTAATAAAAACCGGCTATTGTTATCTTAACCACAGATCAGAAAATATTCTTTTTGAATTATCACACAACATAAAAGGCCAAACCATAATAATCCTTATCTAAATTCCAGTACTAGCATTAGGTACTGTTGGAATCTGCCCAAAATACTTCACATAATTCTTCAGAACACAAAACTTTGCAATCCAGAGTTGTACGTTTTTAAATAAAACATAGTAACAAGTAAAAATAAATAAATAATAATAATATAGACCCCATCATCTTCCATCCATAACGAACGAATAAAAACACATTTTCTGTTACTTTGTTGAATACTTACAAAAGCCAGGGCCGGCAAGTGCATTAAGGACCACTGTGTAGATGACTGTTGCAACTAGTAAGACAGTCAGCACTACTCGAATCCTCGTCCCCCATGCTCCACCATACTGAGAACAGTAAACCTTAAGTTATCAACTATAATACTGTGCATTAAATGATATGGTAACATTTATACACTGTACACACTCCACTTTCATTATTATGTATCCCTTCTACATCTGTGATGGATGCATTCCATTAACTCGCAGAGAAGATATGAAACTATACTGTGTCACAATGGGAAAATGGGTGTGCATCCTGGATCTCTATGCTCATAGCATTTATTTGAATATTTTTAAGGTATTTTGGGTCAGTTCTAATATATAGGTTATGTAAGAATTAATAAAAAAAAAAATAGCTGGGAAACATAAGTCACAATGGAACAACCTATACTTTACATCTCATCAGTAGCTTCTGACCTTACGTTCCAAAAAAATACCAACTGGCCTTATGTTCCATCAATAACAACCGCATAGTCTGAACTCGTCTAGAACCCATGCCACACTACCAACAACTTGACGGGGCGACAAGTGCCGAAGACCCTTAACCCTGGCGATGCCTGCCAATGAAGCCCAAGTGGACGCCTGCTGATGAAGATGAGAAGCGACATGACACTCCCGTCCAGGGAGTCGCCGCAAGAGAGAAGAGGTTACCCTCCAGCCGGAGGGCCCAAGAAAGACGACAGAAGAAAGAAGATGAACGACACCCCCAACCGGGGACCACAGCCGGGTCACCATGTGGAGAAGACCCGGGCCGGAAGTACCGGCAAACCTCTAATGAATGAATGAATGAACAACCGCATGGTCTGCAAAAGTTTTCAAAAAGTAGTTTAACATTTTTAAAAGTGAAGAATTAAGACTTTTTTGACCTGCGATATGCATCATTCTTACCAGTTAACATTACGAAATGCAGCACAATTACAAGTGCAGGCCTTTACGGGGTTATCAAAATAATAAAACTTTTGTACTAGTATTGTCTGAATGAAGGCCCTCCAATTGCCAGTATACAGTGAGAAACCAGAGTTAAAGCCCATGACTTTATACTTTCATCATAAATTCATCTTGGACACTTTTTATGGAGTTATTTTTCCATGTGTATACTAAAAGTGAAGTCAGAGAACTTTTTTTTTTTTTATTCGCCGGTACTCTCCCGGCCTGGGTCTTTTCCATGAGTGGTGACCCGGCCTTGGCTCCCTATCTGGGAAGTGTCTCGAGACCTAAGTCTCCCATGGGAGGAGGTACAAGTACCCCCTCATCTTTGGGACCAAGTGTCCCCAGGCCTAGCCACAGTCCCCGCCCTCACAGGGCTCGTAGGGAGAAGCTAGGCCTCTGGTCTGCCATCTGCCCTGCCCCAATGGAGCTCGTGGGGATGGCAGTCTTGTGAGCTGCAGGTGGTAGCAAGATCAGGAATATTACTCCATAAACTTTAATACTGTACCTTACAACGAAAAGATATCCCTTACACAAAACAATGTTAAATTATCCTAACCAGACCATTAATAAACTTCCAAATATATACGTATAAGAAACCAATAAAAAATAAGGAATACAATATGCACACTCCCGTAAAGACTGCTTGCTTTCATACACTGGACTATTCGGTAGATAACCCAACACTAAGACCGAGCACAAGCGCTGCGTAAGGTATTCAGAGGAAGCTTCACCATCATCTATATTAAAATGTTATTTTTTCAACCACTAGACTAGAAATACATACCCTTGTTGTTTACAAGGAACATTTTAACTACAAAAGAAATATGAGCTGGCAATGCAGCTTGTGGAAAATACTGTATATATTTTCCAGAAATACAGTAGTTATATGTAAATAGATGGCCATACTGTATTTAAAAGAATTATATTATGGAAAATGGGAAACTGGACCTGCGTCTGCACAGAAAGAGTCACCATTGTTAATTTGAATTGGATACAACGTTAGTGTAATGGGAAGGAATTTTCGTGCTCTAGAGGTTAAAATTGGGCTGACACCTCTCAAATAGGAGGCGAAATTGTTGGATGTACATTCCTGCATAACTTGAGATATCAGGCGACAGGTCAGGACAACTCCAGGAACCTCAGATAAGTCTGTTATGTTATAACTCTGGCCAGTTGTTATTTTCATGTATAGACAGTGAGGTTTTCTGAGTATGATATAACTTAATCTCCAGTTAAATTGGTGAGTGATTTTTAAGATATTCTCCTTCTGTTATGTACATGTGTATATATAATACTGTAATTTATTATTTTTAATATACAGTCCACAAATTTATGTATTTACCAGCATTCCTGGTGATGTATATTTCATTTATAATTAATAGGTCCAGAGCAACTTGTGGATATGACAGTGGTAGGTATCAAAGGGGACATTTTTTGCGACCTAGGTGTCCCAAATTCCTACTTGTCTAACTGATAAATAATAATTATCTGTGTATATTTACTGTTATGTACATAATGATACATTCAGATAAATGTAATTTTCCACATTTAATTTGCCCGTTGGTCGTTCTTGAACCGGAGGTAATTAGTGAAGTCATTAATTAGTTAATTACTTAATAATTATATGTGAAATGACAGGAGGTAGATGTTAAGTTCACAAATTTACTTAATGTGTAGTGGATTATAATTATTACAATATTAATTTGGATGAGTCAAGTGTGGCTAAAGATTATATTAATGTGTATAAGTGTATGTGTAATTGATAAGCCAAGTGTAGTTAATTATATTAATGTGTATATTAATTTTGCAAAGCCAAAGTGGCTAGGATTTATATTAATGTATTTGTATAATATTAATTTGATAATTCTGGCCAAGATTTATATCAGTGTATGTGTAATTGATAAGCCAAGTGTAACTAATATTAATGTTAGTAATATTAATTTTGCTATGCCAAATTCTGGCAAGGATTTATGTTAATTTGTATAATAATAATTTTGATAAGCCAAGGCTGGCTAAAGGTTTGTATTAATGTACATTTAAAATTTATATAATTTTCTTACATGTAATTGCTAAGCTCAAGTAGCTAGGATTTATTCAAAGGTAAGTTGTACCAGTGTTGTAAGTTGTAATCAGTGTTATTAATAAAGTTGAATTTAATACATTGCATCATGGCTGAAAATGAGGAAATTAATATAGAAGACAAACATATGGAATACAGAGTAAAGAAAGCATCACTACAGGCTAGAAAAGATCATGTAACCAAGGCATATAATAAGTGCTTGGAATTAATGAATCAAGAAACTGTAAATACTGATGATTTAAAATTTTATTTAGATGCTTTAGGGAATAGATATGATTCATACAAATTATATTACAACAAATATGAAGGAGATTTATTAGTAAACTGTGTAGATGAGACTGAAGTAGATCTTATGATAAATCAGTATTGTGAATTAGAGGAAAAGATTCTTTCTTGTAAAAGCCAGGCCTTGAATAAATTAAAATGTGTAAACCAGGCAGTTAATCAGTCTGCTCCAACAAATAATATGTCTTTGCCAAAACTCCCAGAGCAATGTTTACCTGTATTTAATCCTGGAGAAAATTAGGAGGAATTTTGGTCAATTTTTAAAGCAGCTGTGCATGACAGAAGTGACCTAGCCTGTGTAACTAAATTATTTTACCTAAAAGGACAGGTAAGAGGAGATGCTCACATACTCATACAAGCCTTTCCCAATGTAGATGATTCTTACAAAGAAGCAGTTGACTTGTTGAAGGTCACTTTTGGTAATATAGAACAAAGTAGGTTGGATCTAGTGAATATCATTGTTAATTTAAAATCTCCAGATCACACTTACAAAGGTTTACAGCAGTTTAGAGTTAAACTGGAGAGCACTCTCAAAACTTGAAGTAATAAATATAATCTGAAGGAATCAGACTGGTTATTGAGTGCCAAAGTACAGAATAAATTCAGCTGTAAAACACTTGAATGGTTTTCGAACAAGTATCACAAGGGTTATTTTGGTCTGGAGGAAATAAGACTAGGTCTACAAGAATTAATTGTGCAGTTGCAGACCAGCCAACTAACTCATTTTAAAGATGCAACACACAATAACTCTGAGGTATCTGTCAAGTTTCACAAAGGGAGAAATTATCCCAATGTTAATAATCAAAATTCATTTCCTAAAAAGAGTTGCATACATGCATATCAATTAGCAGGAATCAGAAATAATGATTCTCCACAAGGTAAGAAGAATAAGTACCCTCCTAAGAGTAGCCCAGTTAATAAGAAACCAGTCAAAGAAAAGATAGATCGTCTCTTCTGCAAGGGTATTCATTTTTCTAAGAATTGCAATGCATACAATTCATGGAATGATAAAGTTGAAAGATTGGAGGAACTTGACAGATGCATCAGGTGTTTGGGTAATCACAATGTAAAGGATTGTTATGCCAAATTAAACTTCTGTTATCAAGTCACAAGGGAAGACACCTAATAGTCATGTGTAAAGGTCTATATGATAATGTTGATAATAATGATAATGTTGACAATCCTGACAACAGTGGCTAATGTAAAAATTGCTGCTAATGTTAATAATGATGGTTTTGCTGAAGTAGCCTTACCTGTGTTACAGGTAAAAATTTATGATAAAAGGCATAAATCAAAAAATGTAAATGCATTATTGGACCAGGATCCCCGCGTACTTTCATAAAACGTAAATGTCTTGATGGTATGAAAGTACAGATGGGGGAAACCCACAAACTTTAAAATTATTGGTTTTCTCTCGGGTTAAAAGGGCTCAATTGTATGACACTGTTTATGTAACTGTCAGGTTGGGCAATGAGAAAAACGTGTTAATGCAAATAATTGTAGATAGACTTCCAGAGAAAATGTCTACAGTAGGGCTTAGTAAAGCTACGAAAGACTTTCACATAATGTAAATTTAGCACCTTTGGTGTAAGTGATGATTCTGTGGCCCAATAAATATTTTGATAGGTAGTGATATTATGCCCCCTTTGTAAAGGGTATGGTAAAGAAATGTGGTGTCACCCTTTTGAAGACTGCAGGAGGCCAGGTAAAGTATGGTAGGATTCCTCGTAATAATAATTCATGGACTAGAGGAAATCAAATACCATAACTG